CCTTGTATAGTGGGTCTTAACATTATTCCCAGTAAGAGTGGAGGAAAATAAAGCAATGAAAGGAAAGTCATCTTAAAGGAGGTATATTCTATGTTTGGAGAGCACCTCGTTGTCTTCTTGGCCCGTTACATAAGCACACCTCACTGCCTATTCTAATTTATCACTCCCACCCTGAAACATCTGATTTACCCATTTTGACCTACATTTATATCACGCCTTTTTACTACTCCAAGCCTCTTACATGTGACTTTCCCCCCTCTGCTTGGAATTCCCTTTGTCCCGGTCTCATCTGAAACACCTGCTCTCGTTGTTCAGCTCAGTTTCATCATTACCTCCTCTGTAAAGCCCCTCTCAATTCCCTCATGCAAAAGTGTAGACACTATAACTACCTGAGAAGCACTGTATGCATACCACTGTTTTAGCCCTCATTGCAGTGCCGTGTGATGCTTATTTACCTGTCAGAGCTTTTCAGTTTTGGAAGCTCTGTCATACTCATCTTGACTTTCCAACCCAGGCAACGTCACATGGGCCAGGTGTCTCATACATATTTATAAATTGCTGTTGACTGCTAAATAAAGCTGTAATATTATTTTACCATGGTATTTTTACTGGGGGAAGAAATGAAACATTTAAAGAATAATGTACCAATTTTTTTTCAGAACCTGAAGGATGTTGATTCCATTTTTGCACCTGAAAATTTGAGGTAGAAGCTGTTAAACAAAACAAAAACAAAAACAAAACAAACAAAAAAAAGAAATGAAACACTGATATACTGTGAGAATTTTAAAATATTGAATAGTATCTGTCTTTACCAATGACAGTGGATCTTTCTTAAGCCTTGATGTCACAGTGAATTGAATTCAAGGATCATATTGATTCTTTAGCTGAGATTTTGTGTAAATTTATGTGGTTTTGTGACCGGCCTCCATCCTAGAGTTACCATGGATACTGCAAAGTTTCCATCTTATTTGCAACCATTTCTAGGGCTCTCCCTAAAAACCAGTTGTTTTTCCTACAAAAGTAGACTGTCTTCCTACAAAAGTAGACACATGCACAGAAATGAATCAGTAGGTAAGCAGCAGGCAATATTTTCCCCACTCGCCCAGCTGCCCTGTAAGCAAACAAAAAATTCACCCACACACAAAGAAGGCATATTTCCTTATTTTCTGTATTTTCAAATGTATTTCTCCCTTCTCAAAGTCACCATTCTAGAAAATTTCTAATGGGATTTTAAATGCTTATGTTAGTAGACTTATCCTAGATTACTGGCACTGTCTTCTATAAAATACTCAAGCTTTGATCAGGACTCCCACAGTGAGCACTGTACATGCGTTCTGTTCTCTTTATGGCTTCAGTTGCTTAAAAAGCAGAAATGTTAGTTAAGAATGTTACAAACATGGTAAAAGTAAAAAAGCAAAACAACAACAACAAAAACATGTCTCTACATGACCCCTTGTGACTGTTAAGTTTGATTTACTTTTAGAGCTCTTCTCAAGCACATGAACTATGTATATGTTGATTTAGAGCAAATATTTCCTGTTTATTACCTTAAAAAAAAAAAAAAACAAAACTCCTGTGTATTACTTAGAGCACGACCAGGTGAAACTGGAGACAGACCCTAGTCATTCCTAAAACATAGGTGGCAAGCAGTTTAGTACCAATTCTTTTATCATTTCTTCCATTTCTCTTCATCTTAAAGTGGAGTTATTAGCAGTTCTTGATAATTGGAACTTTGAAACCAATTTTTTTTTTCCAGAATGGTAGTAAAGGAAAATTAATCAAAAGGACGCTTGACAATTGCTGAAGTCATTTTCTTTCTACAGGGCAGTATTGAATCCAATATTAGATCAAGAAATGGAGTAAACACTGAACATTAAGCAGTTATTGAATATCTGTTATAAGCAGTTTTAGTACAAATGTGTGTCCATATTTTGCCATCTGTAGAAATGGAAGATATAAACAGAGCCCAGTATTTCTTGATGATCACTTTAATATGGTGGCATTTGGGATGTTTGTAAATATCGCACAAACAGATACAGGAGCCAGAATTCATGTTCAGAAACTTGTGAATCATGCATGTGGATTCCAGATTTGTTACTCTACATCAAGGACACAATGGAGAACAATTTTTTTTTTCCTAAGATATTGCATAAAGTGAAATATAGCTGCGTTTGTGTGCACAGTCTGTGGGACACTGTAGAAATGTAACAGATAAATTCTCAAGGGGTTTATTATTTAATCAGTGAAAACAAGCTCCTTGTCTGGCCTTTTTATGGTATCTTACTATATGTGTGCACACATACACACACATACACACAAAGCCTGGCAGAATGAGTATTAATTTCCTATTTAAATACAATCTTTCCAGAATTTACAAAAATTTTGCGTATTTTATAGATTTGGCATCATGAATTTCTCCCAGGAAATTTCACAGGATGTTGTCAATATGTATTCTTACCTCCTCCCACACACTTTCCCATAATTACTGGAAAGATATCAAATTCCAGAGAAGCACTCCTACTCAAAGATACTTTGGGAAGGTAATGGGCCTCCTCTTAAACACATCCCTGACCTAAGTGTGTTGCTACGTGGAGTGCTGAGGGTTCTAGACTACCTCAAACTACAGCTGTATTCACAGTATCCTCACACAGACACATAAACAACTGTGCTGCCCTCTCTGAATCCCACCTCACTGTTTTCCTCATGGCCGCCCCACCCTGAAGGCTTTGAGGGTTCTAATCCTGGAACTGCCGGCTCTCTGCAGAACACTGGTCAGTTTGCTGGGTGTTTAACACTCAGCTCTGGTTTCTGCTTCCCGGAATCCTTTGAGCCACACCACTTTTGCAGTTCCCATCGAGTTCCCTTTTCTCCAGGCAGTTCACTTTCCCAAGGAGATTTTCCTGTCTAATCTCAGGTGCAGGTGAGATTAAGGTGAAGCATCCTTAGATGCTTCCAGCATTCTCTCTATCCTCACCCTTGCCCATGAGAATCAAAGAATGAATCGATGTTTGGATGCCTGGATGGCTCAGTCGCTTAACGCGTCCAACTCTCGATTTTGGCTCAGGTCATGATCTCATGGGTTGTGAGACTGAGTTCGGTGTTGGGCTTTCTGCGCAGAGCCTGCCTGAGGATTCTCTCCCTCTGCTACTCCCCCAACTCATTCCTTCTCTCTCTCTGTCATATCTTAAAAAAAAAAAAAAAAAATGAATTAATGAGCCAATGTCTCTGCTTTTCAGAGTAAGAACAATAGCTTGTTGTAATCCTTGTCCTGCTAATCCCCTTCCTTCTCCACAACCTTTTTTAGTGTCCCTTTTCTGAATTCACACAAGTACTCTATTGCCTTGACGCCTTTCAGAGAGCATGGTTTTTAATGGATACTCAATAAAGATTACAGATTTGTGTGACAGAACCGGATTCACATTCCAACCATACAACATATTTAGTATGTGATGTTGGGCCAAACTGCTAGAAGCTCTGTGGCTCACTTTGCTCATCTATAAAATGGGGATAACAAAATTAAAGAGAAAAGGGCACATAATAGGCACTAGGAAATAATGGTTCCATTTCCCCTTGTTGAATAAATGAATGTCTGACAAATGAAAGACATGTTGTCTGGACTTTTGCTCTCTGACAGGCTCCCGTGAGAAGCTTCTTGACTTCTAGACAGAGGGGTCAGTTTGTTAATTCAGTAGCTTGACTTTGCAAGGCTGCTGAGTCATCCCAACCACCCTGCTTCTTTTTTTGTTTGTTCGTTTAAGATTTTATTTATTTGACAGACAGAGATCACAAGTAGGCAGAGAGGCAGGCGGCGGGGGAAGCAGGCTCCCCGCTGAGCAGAGAGCCTGATGTGGGGCTCTATCCCAGGACCTTGAGATCATGACCTGAGCTGAAAGCAGAGGCTTTAACCCACTGAGCCACCCAGGTGCCCCAACCACCCTGCTTCTTAGTATCACCCATGACCTCCCTCGTTACATCTTGTTTATACCTAGAGCCTTGAGGGTTTCACTCTGTAGTGCTGCTGAGGGGCAGTTTCTCTGAATCAGACAATTCTTGTTCTGGGTTACTAGAGCCCATGGGATTATCCTAGCTCTTGTAGTCCTGCAGAACTTTACATCCTAGAGACAGATGCTCCTCTGACCCAGTGCTTCCACCCAGACCCTCACAGTGGCCGGCCTGTCTCTTCCAAGACATTGAAGACGGACTAAATGGGAGGAAAGGGCAAAGACAAAGTCAAATATAAATCTAGTAGTTCAAATTTGAGTGGATGGAGGAGCGATGGTATCAGGGACAGAACACCTAGGATGTAAAAAATGATGATGTGAATTTAGCAAATTTTGTTTCAGATTCTGAAACATCTTACCTTTTTAGCCATCAGTGGGAAAAAATAAATGGAAAGCCAACTATGAATAGAACTAACCAAAATTCAAGATGACATTACTCCAAGGAGCAATATAATGGTGCATATCAAATATTAAAGCACATAATCATGTGAAGTATCTTGGGAGATTTTAAGTAATTCAAATTATGTAAGGACGAAGTCAGAATGTATAACAGGATCCATTTTTGAGATTATTTACTTCATTATTTCATTAAGTAATTATTTTCATTTCTTTAGTGAACATAGGCTTCCCCATCCTTTTTTTTTTTTTAAATATATATTTTTTTTATTTGTTTGACAGATTACAAGTAGGCAGAGAGGCAGGCAGAGAGAGAGAGAGGAGGAAGCAGGCTCCCTGCCGAGCAGGGAGCCCGATTCGGGGCTCGATCCCAGGACCCTGGGACCATGACCCGAGCTGAAGGTAGAGGCTTTAACCCACTGAGCCACCCAGGCGCCCCATTCCCCATCCTTTTTAAATGGTGTCATTCTTCGTGTACCTTATATATTCTCACATAGTTGAGAATAAAATTCTCCTGTGAAATAGTTTACTGCAATTTTTTTTTTCTTTTCTTTAAATAATTAGTTTTCCCTAGATAAAATAAAATGTTGTACTGCCTTGCAGCCTCACTGTTAGGAACGAAGAAAGAGGGGAAAATGTGGGAAGACCCACGCATACCACAAAAATGGAGAGCATCCAGGTCTTAGAGGAATGGTAAGTGTGCTTCCCCTTGAAATTGTGTCTGGTACTTGTACACCTCTTACCTCTACGCAGTGCTGGAACATTAGCCCTTGTGTCCCGGTGCTCCTCAGAATGGCTTTTGAATGCCTTCTCGGTCCGGAAGATCTTATTTTGTGACGGCAACTGCTTTTCATCAATTTTTCTGTTAGCTATGTTAAGCTATCAGCTAAAACACTGCCTGAGTTTATCTCTCTCTTTCAAAAAGTAATGACTGTTAAGATGAATTAGCCCCTGATTGCCCTAATTCTTATCTTTCCGTGAATATTTTTTCTAAGCGTTTCTCTTCCTCAGGAAAGAGTCTGAAACACACAGAAAAAGATATGTAATTACCTCACTTAGTCAGAAAGGGCACCCAGCTGGTCCCTGATCCCATTTCCTTCAGAACAGATTCTACCCAGGTATTTTCTCTAGAATGAGAATCAAGTTCTCATTGCAGTATCTACAGAATAAAATTAAAATACAAGTCGATTAGTTGTATGATGATAGGTGCTTTTTTTTTCTGCTTCCTATGAAAAGATTTTAATGTTGGTGCCTCATCGTAATTTTGCCACCTTTAAACTTTTTTAAGTGAAAGAGGAAGTTCAGACATTTTGGATCAGTGACAAATCTATTTAATATACTTGGTCAAAAAAATAAGAAAAAATAAAATATAAGTACTTCTTGGACCAAATGTACTTTGGGTTGGAAAATTCTTTTTTTTTCTTTCCCTTTTTTAAAAATATTTAAAAAAAAATTCCAGTTAACATACCATATAATGTTAGTTTTAGGTGTATAACGCAGTGATTCAATGCTTCCATACAACACCCTGTGCTCATCACGACAATCGCATTCCTTAATCCCCATCATTTATTTCTCCCATCCTCCCACCCACCTCCCTTCTGGTAACCATTAGTTTGTTTTCTATAGTGAAGAATCTGTTTCTTGCTTTGCTCCCCCCCCTTTTTTTCCCGCTTTGTTCATTTGTTTTGTTTTTTAATTCCCTATATAAGTAAAATCATATGGTGTTTCTTTCTCAGACTTATTTCACTTAGCGTAATACTCTCTAGTTCCATCCATGTCATTGCTGAGTAATATTCCATTGTATATATACACCATGTCTTCGTTACCCATTCATTAAGTGATGGACACTTGTGTTTTTTCCATAATGTGGCTATTGTAGATAATGCTGCTGTAAACATTGGGCTGCACGTACCCCTTGAATTAGTGCTCTTGTATTCTTTGGGTAAATACCTATAGTGTCATTGCTGGATCGTAGGGTAGTCCTCTTTTAACTTTTGGAGGAGGTTGGAAAATTCTTAAATAAACCGATGGATAGGAAAGCAAGATTGGGATCAATTTAACCATAAGAATCTCTAAGCTTCTCTTTCCATTTCTTTGAAGTATAACCAAAGGGAGTAACAACTGGTGGTTTCTGCGTGAACATAGTCACTGAAAACTTAATTATAAGTATCTAGAAAGTCCTCAGTGTCATTATAAAGGCCTTGAGATTTTTAGCTCTAATAATTCCATTCATGGGTAATACTCTATTCATAATACTTTAATAGAGTAATACTAGAGCTTAGGAAAATATGCAACAAGTGCATACAATTTAGAACCAGTGACAAATGAAAAAGTACCTGTCAGAGAGGAAAAGAGAAGCAGTACCTTATGGCTTTAAAGTTAAAATATACATCAAAAAATATAAATACTTAAAAGACGCAACAAAAAATTCAATTTGCCCTTCAAATTAATGCATAGGGTGTCTGTCAATTTGCAATATATTGTTAAGTTTGAACATTTCCAGGCATCATTATGAATTATGATGACCGTGAGAAATAGTGTGTATAACCCTTTGCTGTTTGAATGCTTTGCTCCCTAACACACATTTGTGCCTAAACGAATTTTTTTAAATACCCAGAAGTAGCCTAGTCCTCGCAGATACTTGACAGATAAGAGCAAAATAATTGTCAATGACCACTAGATGGCAGCAAATGAACAGCAATTTCTGTCCTTTCTCCCCTCTGCCGACCAAGTATTCTTACATCAGAGTTGCCTTTGATGATGGCCCAATTCTGTCTTTGCAGCCAAAACCCCACTTCAGATGAAGTCTTGTCCTGGTCTCAAAATTTTGACAAGATGATGAAGGCCCCAGCAGGAAGAAACCTTTTCAGAGAGTTTCTCCGAACAGAATACAGTGAAGAGAACCTACTTTTCTGGCTTGCCTGTGAAGACTTAAAGAAAGAGCAGAACAAAAAAGTAATTGAAGAAAAGGCCAGAATGATCTATGAAGATTACATTTCTATACTATCACCAAAAGAGGTAAAAATCTGGAAAATATTTATGGGCTTCCTAAGACCAAGGATGAACCCAAAGGGACCTCTGTCCACATTGGGTAATGCATGGGGTGTGGACAGTCTAGAAGGCTTCCCTGGGGAGATAATTTAGATTTTACTCTGAGAACCTACCTGAACATACGTTTGAAGGCTAGGTTTCCCCACTATGCTTTGATCATTTATCTCTCTCTGAACCATGGGGCTGGCTACTTGCTTTTCAGAACTAACATTGCAAAGCCTCTTAAATACAGTTTGCTTAATACAGTGACTTACGCTAAAGAGGAAAAGAAGAATTTACTGTGGGGCAGTTTTTCTCTAAGTGTGATCCCCAGATCTCCTGTCTAAGGATCACCAGGAGCATTTGTTTGAAAAGCAAATTCTAGAGGCCTACCCAGGACTTCTGAATCTGAATTTTTGGAAATAGAGCCCAGGAATCTGGACTTTTAACAAGCTTTCCATGTACACACTAGTTTGAAAACCTCTAATAGGACCTTAAAAAAAAAAAAAAAGCTACTATGTTTATTGATGCTCATGGTAGAATTTTTATAGGATTAAAGAATGGGCATTTATGACCCACTAATATTCTTAGGAGAGAGAAGGGTAATAGCAATTCTTTTATTTATTTCGGTTACCCTGTTACTGAAAGTGCAAGCTTTTTTTTTTTTGCCATTTTGCTGAAACATGCCTAATTAATAAGGAACATTTCAAGCAAACAAATTAACACTTTTCCATTAACTTTTTAAAAAATAATTTGATCCTAAGTCAAATTTGATCCTAAATCCAGCTGCCAGAGTGAAAAGGACTTGATGAGGGAGGAATTAGTAGGGTAGCCAGGCTTCTGCAGGGCTGAGTGACAGAGTTCCACTCCACACCACCCTCTTTTTGTCTTTCCTGTCTCTGTGCACTGAAATGTCCTGACCTGGCTCCTTCGGCTCCACACTCCTCTCCTGTGTGCCCATCTACAATCTTCCCTAGAAATTCCCTAGTAATATTCTGTGCTCATTGGGGCTTCCACCAGTCCGGGATGTGGCCCCAACCTACCCTACACCCCTCACCCTGAAATCTATAAAACGAATCCACGTCTGTGTTTGGAAGGCTACATATAAACGATTTCACTTCTAATAAGGTGTACCTTAGTAAGTTTTAAAAATTTGTTAGTTAAGTTATAATTGCCATTGGTATTCCAGAGGACCCCAAGAGTATTGTTATTGTCTCCACAAGATAAGAGACCTGGAATTGGATATACCAAGATTGTTTTATTTTTTTATTTCCCTCATTAATGTAGAGAAAAGTATTCCTGGAAACAAGGTGCGCAGAATTTTTTCTGTAGCCTCGGTGCATTTCTTATAGATGCTACTTTGTGGTTCTAACCTCAGAACTACATGCTTCAGGTTGGTAGTCTATCTGGAAGCTCAGCACCTAGCCACTTCTTCTTGGATTTTATTAGCAGATACATTTCATTCTCATTTTTAAGTTTGCATTATATGGCAAAGATATCAAACGATCCAAATGTGCCCAATGATGTGCTTCTGTTGCACATAATTGTTGTTTGGGAAAATTATCTAGCCCGTTTCTCTCCCCAAAATATATATTATGTATCATGTGAAAATGGTAATTGCCTCGATTATCTAGTCCATTCTTTGTACTATGATAGGTGTTCTACTTTAAAATAATGTTGGTAGAAAAAATATTCTCCATACGAAGTACATAGAATTCCTTTATTTCACAGTCTTCATTTACTAGTTTTTAGTTTTTATGGGAAACACTTTCCCATTATCTTCAGACTCCCAATTTTCAGGTGTCACGGATTAATGGAGCTTTGTAAAATAAACAGTTTTCATAAAATTACTTCTTGGGGCCACAGTTTCAAGCTATCTTAGTTATTGATTACTGAACTAAAAACTATTGGATTTTCATTGTTTTTGCAAAAGTAATGGAGTTTTGTTTTAGCCTAATTTATTTTGAATATGAGTTTCACCAAAAAGTCATTAAAATATTATTTTCTGATCAAAAGCACTACCTTCCCTAAGTTAAATGGACTAATATTTAATGTAACAGAAATATATCTTTTCTCTTTTGTGTATCTATATTTGGGCCATTACCCACTCTTTAATATCCTCAAAATACCACACACACACACAGAGAGAGAAGCAACATGCACATTTTTATCATTTTGCTACTTGTGTACTGACTTGTAAAAAATTCTTGACAAAGAATCTAAATGGACTGTACGAAGTGCCTTTTTTTTTCCTTTCTAATTTAATTTTATTTTGTGTATGTGTGTGTTCCAAAATTCATTGTTTATGCACCACACCCAGTGCTCCATGCAATATGTGCCCTCCTTAATACCCACCACCAGGCTCACCCAACCCTCCACCCCCCTCCCCTCCAAAACCCTCATTTGTTTCTCAGAGTCCACAGTCTCTCGGGTTTGTTTCCCCCTCCAATTTCCCCCAACTCACGACGAAGTGCCTTTGTTTAGCAAAAGGATTGTTCTCCTGTCAACATAGTAATTACATTTGATCATTGTTTATTAGCAAAAACAAATAAACCAAAAGTAGGTATTTGCAATTATAAAAGAAAATTGTTTATAAGTTATATTTTAAGCCAAGATATAAATATATTTGCTCTTGAACCATGACCTGACTCACTGAGACACTTACAAAATGGCATGCACTTTCTGGCCACCCCAGAGTCCTTTCTAAACTGTTAGATCTCACTGACCTCTCTGTGCAAAAAAGTCTCTGATCAGCCACAATACATTAATAAGTGTCTGATGATACCAAGTTGTCACCCTTCCAATGTTGTTTTCCAACACTGGAGAGAATACATGTCACATCAAGACAGCCCTGACCGTATAGTAGTAAGAGCACTGAATTCATCATTCAGATGCATGGGATTCTGGTTCTGGATCTGCTTCAGGCTGATCGTGTGGCCTGGGAAAATTTAGTTCACTTCTCTGATTTGTTGTTCAGTTGCTTTGTTTACCAAAGTAAAGATGAAATGGGACACAGAGACTAGTAAACCAAATCCAGAATGACAACTGTAAGGCTCTTGTGCTACTACTCCATTCTCTCCACCAAGTGATGTGGCTAATCTATTATGGTTCTTACTACTATACCCTGATTCAACCAGAGAATTTCTCTCAACGCAGTATTCAAAGCAGCCAGGCTACAAACTGTTAGAGTTGGGATCGATTTCCCATCTGGGGACTAGATAATCTGGCCTTTCTACCTCTGAAATTCTGTAACTGTTTCGGTTTACTTTGAATATTTTTAAAGAACATGAAAATTTGAATCATTTATAAAATAAGGACTAAATAAAAATTATCAGGCTTCCATTCTTAACTAGAACCTCATTTTTCTTCATTATACTCATTTTATCTTAATTTGATAGAGTTATCATGTTCCTCTTGCTTAAATGTAGAGAAAGTCTACATTCTTAAAATTATTTATATTTAGATAACTTATTTTTTCTCATGAAGCCAGTGTGCTTGAAATTATATTTCATTACTTGAAGAGCATGTTTTATGCATTTTAAATAATTTGAGAATTATGTTATAAAATAGATGTTCGTAATCTGGAGACAGTATAGCCTTCATTTTTTGGTATAGTGTATATTTCGAGAGGGAAAGGACAAATTTTCAATTTAAAAAAAGCGAAACACATAAAGAACAGCATTTTTCAAAAGTAAAATTTTTTATGTGCTGTTCTCAAAGACAGAATCAATAGGGGTAGTAAAGAGGAATTTAAGATTGACAGTACTCTTACTGCAAATCATAGATGCTGACGGCAGTTTATATTTATTAAATATTGAAAAGACAAACCCAGAAAAATTAATAATTTTAGTAAAAAGTCTGTTTGGGTTTCCTGGGCTGGCTCATGCAACTCTTGAACTCCTGTAAGTCTGAGCACCACATTGAGTGTAAAGATTAATTAAAAAATAAAATCTCCAAAAAAAGTCTATTTAAAAGCTATTACCTACCATAAACAGCATTGAGCTGTTGAATGAATAATTATAAATCTTGCAACAAACGTAAAACTGCTGTTTTCTACAAATCTCTTTAGTGATGGCATTTTCCTTAACGTGAGCTGTAATTCAGCCCTCCTGATGCTTACCATCCTTATGACACTGAGCAACTAACTCACTTTAGGGGTCTCTGGTCTCAGTTTCCTCATTTTGCAGAATAATGGCATGGAGAAAGCTCAAAAACTCACTAAATCTCTAACTTTATGGCTCTCTCCCATGGTGATTTGAATCCTGGTAGGGGTTGTTTGCTTCTTTGATTTCATCCTGAATTTCCAGTTGTTATCTGGGAGAAAAAAAAAAAGCAGTAAACCTATTTAAATTCCAAAATTCTCTAAAAATAATGCATATGTGATAGACATGTGGATTCTGTGTTTGCAAGTATGTACCCCTTTAAGCAAAATTATGTGAATTTAGCACTTTTGATGATATAAGTTGTTTTTTCTAAGCAGGACTCATTTGACTGTATTTTCCTAGATTCATTTATTTGTGCCCACATATTTTCATTCAAAAAATATTTGGCTATTTCCTATGAGCCAGATACTGGGTTAGATCTTGGGAATATGTTGTTGAACAAGAAAAACACTGGCCTATCATTTACAGATCTTACATTTCAGGAAAACAGATAAATCATCTCAAAAGCAAGTAACTAGCAGAATACCCTCTAGTTCCATTCATGTTGTTGCAAATGGCAAGATTTTGTTTCTTTTGATGGCTAGATACTATCCCATTGTGTGTGTGTGTGTGTGTGTGTGTGTATAATACACACACACACACACACCATGTCTTCTTTCTTTTTTTTTTTTTTTAAGACTTTATTTATTTATTTGACAGAGAGAGAAATCACAAGTAGGCAGAGAGGCAGGCAGAGAGAGAGGGAGAAGCAGGAAGCAGGCTCCCCGCCAAGCAGACAGCCCGATTCAGGGCTCGATTCCACGACCCTGAGATCATGACCTGAGCCGAAGGCAGAGGCTTAACCCACTGAGCCATCCAGACGCCCCCACCATGTCTTCTTTATCCATTCATCTGTTGATGGACATCTAGGTTCTTTCCATTGTTTGGCTATTGTGGACATTGCTGCTATAAACAGCCAATCAAAGAAAGACAATTATCATATGATCTCTCTGATATGAGGAATTTGAGAGGGAGGGTGGGAAGTTGTGAGGGGTAGGGAGGGAAAAAATGAAACAAGAGGGAGGAAGACAAACCATAAGAGACTCTTAATCTCACGAAACAAACTGAGGGTTGCTAGAGGGTAGGGGGGGAAGAACAGGGTGGCTGGGTTATGGACATTGGGGAGGGTATGTGCTATGGTGAGGGCTGTGAATTGCGTAGGCCTGATGATTCACAGACCTGTACCCCTGGGGCAAATAATACATTATATGTTAATAAAAATAAAATAAAAAATAAAAAAAAGCAAGCAACTAAAAAATGTGATGAATATAACGGGGATGGAGGTCAATGGTGGTATTTAGATGAGGGGAAGTCAGGTAGGGTCATTCTGAAAAGGGAAAATTCAAGTTGATAGAAAGTCTGAAGACACTGTGTTTATCAAAAAGGTGTCATGATACTTAAGGCCTATTATTATTATTATTATCACCTTACATTGGGCTTAAACTTTGTTATTGACAAAATGGTCTCACATATATTATCACAATATAAGTCTCACAGGAATCCTTTAGCCATTGGGAGACAGGGCACCATTTTACAGCAAAGGAAATAAACAGATTCTCAAAGAGGCAGAACAACTATTATAGGACATCCTAACTGTATACCTGGTAAAGAGTGGATAGAAGCCCAAGGTCTTCTCATTCCAAATGTGGTGCCCTTTCAGTGTAATATGCTGACTAGGAATCCCATCGTCTAGTATTTTCTTCATGACACTTCCACAGATTTCTATACACCCAACCTTAGAACTTGAGACAAAATGAGAAATAACGTTCATAACCACATGCCTGAACTCTCCCTAGACGAGCAAGATAAACTTCCCCATCATTTGGGCCCTACCAGAAATATGGCTACTGTACTTTATCCAGTGATCTTTGTTCCAAGAAATCAATTCCAATAGTCTTATTTGCAATTTATAATTATTTTCAGCAGAAATAATTAACACAGAATAATATGACTAAAAGTACACATGATATAAATTTATTATAACCAATGGGGGAATCAGATATTCTTCACAAAATTTAACATGAGAAAACCAAGTTTAGTTAAAATTAAAGAGAATATCACTGGTAAAATTGAATATGAACTTATAAAGGAAAAAGGAACAAAAATCAGAATTTTACTTCAAAAAGAATCCTAAATAAAGCAACTTGGGTAAAATTAGAGATAAAATGGGAAAAAAATGGAGGAGAAAAACATAATCATGATACCTAAAAATTGTTTAAGGAAGTTACCTAATTAATTTGAGGAGGATCTCCACAAGGGAAAAAGACTTTCAGTGAAAATTCATCATTTTCAGCATAATTCTGCCCCAAATGTCCACAATATCAAAATTTCCATTGCATCTTGATGGCTAGAACAGAAAGGCAGGGTCAACACATAGCATACAGCCCTCTGGTGACATTCACTTAACTCAGCGTTCTCCTCCACTGGGTAGGGAATGTAGCAAGATTAAACAGGTAGATCACTCAGCTTGAGCCGGGTTTTCCCCAGCCACACTAGCAAGACCTGTCTTCATTGCCTCCACTTCCGTTCCACACTCATGGTGAACCTTCAGCTCTCATGCTGTTTTTCTCCCAACTAGTTTGTGGAGTTCGTTTTTCTCCCAACTAGTTTGTGGAGTTACAGGTGGAACATATCTGTATGTTTGCGAGCCACTTGCCTTTCTTCTTCTTCTGTCTCCTGCTCCTTGTGCGAGGGAATAGCTTCCAAGCTCCTCCCACAAAGTCCCCTAAGCCTTCTAAACGGCACTTGCCACCTCTCAACACTGCCAGTGTTCCCAGCACTGCTACAGCTGCTGGGTGAATGCTGCCAAACTCATAGGAGCCGTGTGGTGCCCCGTCCCACCAGAGTACTTCTTTTTCTGTTAATGCTGTGACTGTGAATGGTACCTTCCCTTCCCCTACCTAGATGTGAGTCTGTGAGGACTGAGTACTACCGGAGCCCTGTTACGCAACGATAGCTCGGCTTGTGCTTCTCAACTTTCTCTTCCCTTGGGATGACTTCTTTATGGGAAACTCCTCAGTCCCATAGGCACTGGACCCCAGATTAGATGGGATCATGAGCCATCCAGTTGTGCCTGAATCCTATGGTGACTACGGCTCAGGCCCGTGCTGGGATCCCCCCACTCCCACTAACTTGTATTATAGATGTTCCACAGTCTGAAGCATAAAGATACCACCAGATGAAACTATAGATTTTTACACCCATGGGGTTTATCCTTGTTATTTGACCTCTCTACACTGCTTTTGACTGACAGCCTTTCCAAACAAGCAGAACTTAAGGTAAATATTTTCTTTTTTAAATAGAAATAGCAAATGAGTTTTGTTACAGGTTACTAAATGTCAGATGACTTTCTCTGTGATATTTCACTATGGTTTTCGATTTGCACAAAAATAAAATTATACAGTGAGAACTCAAGACATTTAATAATTCAAGGTATTTTATTTCTGTTTTAAGATAACTAATATGGTTCTAACCACAAGCAATTATACTGTATTTAATTATGCTGTTATTTAAGAAATAAATGATCTTCTTTATCATTCATCTAACCTTTCCTCCTCCGTTGAAATAAAAAGTTTCTCAAGTTTGAAAGTAGGAGCAAAAACATTTACAAAAACAGCTGAGTGTATTTGGTAAGATTTCACCTTACCATAACACCACTTTGCAGTGTGAGATCAGCTTGAACTCCATTGTCAACACATTTCTATTGAATAGAAAGATAAATAATATTTTTAAATAAAAAGCTTAGAAAAAAATTCTGTATTTTTTATTACTTTGTATTTGATGACTTCAGATGGCTCAGATAACAGAGAATAAAACCTTAAATGACCCATTTCCAGAACTTTTTTTTAAAAGAATGAATATATAGTTCAGCCAAGAGACATTTAATTTTTTCCATAATGTTGGTCTAGCTAAGCCATAGACATTTAGTCTGGATCACCATTTCCCTCTCATAGGACCCATCTCTGGGGTATAGCAATCAATCCAATTCTACATGGGCCACAGAGCTTGGGAATCTGGGGACACCGAGATGGAACATAAGCCACTTTAGTCATTAGGACTAAGACCCCAGGCTCAATCCGAACAATAGGTGGGAAAAGAAGTCATAACCAAAAGGCTTCTGCAAAATTCTTATGACAAAACATTTAGCTATAAAAATAAAACGTTTGTATAGATGGAGTACATCATGAGACAGAAAATATGATCACAGTGCTGTAGTCCAGGCTCAACATTGAGGACTGAGGAAACCAATGAGGACAAGTTTGTGATGGCTGGCCTCTTAGGTTTTGCCAACATGTCACTTCAGAGCAGAGCTCGTTTCTGTTCCCGGAGTATGCCCTTATTGCTATTTATTTTTCCCCAGCTCCCTTTCCAGCAGTCCTGCCAGCTCCAACAGGACCAACATTTAGTGAAGGAAAACAAAAGACAACAAAAACTATCATTTGCAGAATTTATTTACGCTTTTCTTTATTTTTAAAGATTTTATTTATTTATTGGACAGAGAGAGAGAGATCATGAGTAGGCAGAGCAGCAGAGAGAGAGGGGAAGCAGGTTCCCTCCTGAGCAGAAAGCCCAATGCAGGGCTGGATCCCAGAACCCTGAGATCAGAACCCAAGCCGAAGGCAGAGGCTTAGCCCACTGAGCCACCCAGGCACCCCTTTATTTACGCTTTCTAATAACACTCTCCTGACTACTTGTACAGGTATTCTGAATTCCTACTTACATTTCTCCTTTCAAAGACTCCACTTTAAGCAACTGTTCTCCTTAATCTCTCATACGGAGATCTTCAGATACATCTCGGTATAAGGACTATATAGTTCTCTGTGCCTTGCCAAGTACCCCCAAGACATGGAGAATGCCTGCTCTGGTTTTGCTCTACTACACCCTTCCAGATTCCTGGTTTCTTATTTGACGCTACAGGATTTGTTGGGATATAAAACTATGAGGAATCAGCACCGGATATCATGCTGACTTTTGCCAGAGAACTAACTACTCCCTGCCATATTTTTACCTTGTCCCATCAAGAGAATCACGCCAGCAGTGACCTAATAGGAGGAGATAAATTTGTCTTCTGGCTAGGGAATTCTCCAGTGCCTCAACGATGAATAGAAATGGTGAAAAACTCCTGAGTAAGTGCATAGAAAAGATAAATCCCAGTAAGCCAGGCTATCTGTGAACTAAACTTCTGGTTTAAAAGACAAGTTGTTTTTTTGTTTGTTTTAGTTCAACTCTTAAGGTAGACAAGTATGAAAGGTTATATAGTCTTGGAAAAGGTAACCTCAAAAAAAAAAAAAGGTAACCTCAAGATTTTAGATAGTTGGATTTAACTCTTTGAAGTTTCTCTGAAATGTCACAAAACTATATTTACTTGAGATCTTTTGAAAAAAATTTTATTTAATGTATCTGCTCTTATTTCTTTTTAGGTCAGTCTCGATTCTCGAGTTAGAGAGGTGATCAATAGAAATCTGTTGGATCCTAATCCTCACATGTATGAAGATGCCCAACTTCAGATATATACCTTAATGCACAGAGATTCTTTTCCAAGGTTTTTGAACTCTCAAATTTACAAGTCCTTTGTTGAAAGTACTGCCAGCTCTACTTCTGAATCTTAATTTTCGTTAAAAAAAAAAAAATCATTTTGGAGGGCTGGGAGGGGAAATAAAAGTAGTTAAATTACACCAGAAACTGAGTTCCTGGAGAACTACAGTTTAGCATTCCTCAGGCTACTGTGAAAATACAACCATATGGTCTTTGTCTCCATTTTTATCAAGGTTATCCTGGTTAAGTTTGGAGAAAACACCACACGAAAACAACGGATTGCCAAATTAAGTTTGTTTTATTCAACACTCATTCTACTTGCAAACAAACTGTATTTGTATCCTATGAACAGTCTCCTAGTGTATCCCCAGAGACTGCATGTGCAAAGTAAAACTGCTTCATTTGCCACATAGCTGTTGTAATATTTAATCCAATGGCATAACTTATATCTGCATTTAAGGACTTTTGTGCAATATGGTCTTATAGAAATAATTGCCAAAAAATTGGCTGTGGTTTGCATTTTTAAATATAACCTAAGAGAGAAAAAGCCAATTTTTAAGTTGTAACAATGGTATTCAACATGTTATATACTGTGTTCAGTACACTCATTTTGAAGCCAATATTTCTGTACATGGAAAAAGAGCTATTTATCTCTGCTTGTTGGGAAATCCTAATGGGGGATTCCTCTGGTTGTTCACTGCCAAAACTGTGGCATTTTCTTTACAGAATAGTTTATGTAAAAAAAAAAAAAAAACCAAAACAGACAATAAGAAGAAGAGAAAAAAAAGCACAAAACAATTTGAAGATATTCTATCTCAATGACAAATCAAAGAGTGATAATTGTTTTTAATTGTAATAGAGGAAAATCTATGTATATATCAGATGTCCAATACTGTAATTAATTTATTAAAGACTGGCTCTCCAGTTCTAAAACAGTTGTGTAAAGTATGTACTTTAGCAAGAAAAAAAATACTAAACTCGATAACTTAGTTTTGGGAATATATATTTAAAAAAAGGATTTAATAAAGGAATGCCTAAATGTAGCATCATAAAACATTTTGATGAATAGCATCTGTCCTGTGGCATATTTTCCTTGAAAGCAAAATCCAATGAAAAGCTAAGTTTTTAACCAAGAGAAGTTTTGTAAGGGTTATGAAGAAGATAATTCTCTACTTCAGACCTTAACTGTTTTCATAGTATCTTCAGAATGACTTATTTTAAAAATGTTAAAACCAAACTATTAATACTCATCCATAATTGAAAGGCAGTACAGTGCTCAAATCTTCTAGCTGCCATATTATTTTTTATAAGTACCACTAAATCTTTAAGACAGAATACTTGCCTGATATTGGCATGTACTTTTGACACTCAAGAAAACGGTATCCTATCATGTGCACACACAGAAAAGTCAGTGTCATATTTATATCAAGGTGTTGCATTTGAATATTAATATCCCCTGGAGGCTATTTTTTTAACTTAAACTTAATAAATATAGTAGTGAGTCACCTAAAGTGAAAGTTTTAAAAATATTTATATCCACTGATAATACTGGCCTTATATTAAGGATGATATTAAAATTATAGGTTTTGTCATTTTTTAACTACCTCTCATTTTTTAATTTATTAAACATTTTTAAAATAAACAAGTTTGGGGTTTTCTTTTTAAAATTTATTTTACTTGAAAGGTTGGCATCATAAGTTTTTTTTTCCATAAAACTTAAGACATTTCAAGGATTGTTTTTTTAAGTGAATTTGATTTTCTAATTTATATAGAATTCAGGAGATATGGTTAAAAGGGCTATTATCTATTCCCTATGCAAATATTTTAACTGTTGCAGTGTTTGACAAAATGGGATTAAAAAGTTTGCAGAGTAGAAAACAAAATGTTCTGTTTACACTGGCGTTGCTGACTATCCTACCATATTCAGCACTTTTAAATACATTATTTATGAAAATGTAGTTAGAATAGAAGATAGGAAATATTTATAATAATCATTTCTTTTAACAAATGCCTGTTTTTGTCTGAAAGTGTTAGTGTGTTAAAACCTACTTTATCCATGTCAATTAGATATTTACTATTTGAATAGTAGTTTTCCGTAATATGTTGGAAAAAAGATAGCTACGAAGATGTTTACAAAAAGTCCTATTTTTTTTCCGAAAGAGTGAAGAAAAACCTATAAGAATCATCACTTCTATTGTGAAGTTCTGTTGTTCCTAAATTATTTAATTTTTTCTTGAGTAGAACTGAGTTTATAATGCTTCTATGATGTATTCACATATATGTTGTAATATCATATTTGTTGCTATCTTTGAGGCACAATAAATTGGTGCACATGACCAGAAAATATGTAATATACTATGATACACCGCATGCATCCATCTTTTTACACATAGACTTTATATTCTTGTTGTTACTATATATGATGGTGACCTGCTAGCCATAAGTTATCTTTATAAGATACTTTGGACTATTAGATGAATTGTCTGTTTGACAATACCTTTAATATTTTACCAAATGTAAAAGATAAGGGCCCTTCTAAAGAGTCCTAATCTCTAACCTGGGCATTTGTAGAATACGGACTTTGAAATTAGTATATCCTTTTAAAACCTGATTAGGAAGTTGGGTTGAGAATGATTCGAGAGCAGATTTACACATTGGATGTTGGTAGCCATGTTATGTGAGCATTTCTGCGCTAAATTCCTGTTTGGGGGGGAGGGGAGGTTTCTCCTTTAATTTCAAAATGTTTGAAGTTTCTATCTATGAGTATATCTGTATATTTGCAACTCTACCAATTTTTAAAGTATGGTATAACTCCTTCTGTTTTAATTACAGAGCTATAATAAACAAACAAAAAGCCCTCAACTGGTGTCTATGCTACCATTCCAAGAGCACAATATTTGTTATGGTAGAATTTGGTTTTTCCTAGTGAATATATTCCTCCCTGGGGACAAATTAGCACTTTAGAAGGTACATTTTGTGTTTTAGATTGTCAGGATTTCTTTGTGTATTGTTAGCATCTGCTAATGCACATGCTCTTTCTATAGTGCCTAAATTCAGATGTGTCTATCATGGAAAGAAAAGTGGAGGGTATAGATTATATATAAATACATATAACTAAATTGGAGAGCCAGATTTCTTCGGAGATGGATCTTGTACATAGATCACACTAATAATGGATGGCTGATGCTTCTTCTTCTTCACTCTGGGTAATTGTTATTATGTTACCCAAAGGTAAAACAGATGTTCCGACAGTGTTACAGGGCAGCTCTAAGCACAATGGGTGCATTGGCGTATGAACAACAATAGCAAAACACAATGTTGATATCCATGTTATGGAGTGCAAAAATCAAGACCATAATGTGGTCTTTAAAAAAAAAAAATCTTAAAATATGTACATAGGATGACCAGTTCTGATATTTGGTCATGGTGCATGGGGTGTTTATTAGTATCCTTTAATGCTGCCTAGGTTCTTACTTACAGAATGAAATGCATATCATATATTTACCTGATAGTTCAGTTTTACAAAGGACTATAGAAATAGGTAAATAATGTCTATATATTAGGGGCAAAAATACATTTTCACCCCATTAAGCTGACTTAAAATAATACCTGATTCTTAATATTGAATGATCCATTTTTTTCTATACACTTTTAACATATTGAAAAAATGTCATTATCGGAACTGTGACAAGTTACATTTGCAAAAAATACAAAATATCAGATGCTTTGAGAAATAAATATAGAAGGAAGAAATTTTAAATACAATCAGAAAATAGGAAAATAGGAACTCTTTCAAAAGCCACCTGAAACTTCTTAGTCTAAATGTCTATAGATAGAACCCTATCAAACATAAATTTTTAAAACTTTGCTCTGGATACAATGGCATATTATTTTGAAAGGTGATAAAGACAGTTCCAGAAAACTTTCTTGCCTGTGTATTTATATTTACAGCTTCTGACCCTAATTTTCAAAATATATTTTGCAAACATTTATATTTGCATGCTCTTTTCAGTTCTTTTTAAATTTCTGACCAATATAAAATGCTTGTTCTCCTGAGAAAACAGCATTAACTCTGTAAAAGTTTGAGTTATTCCTCACTTGTTACAACTGCAAGTATTTATCAATAAAACTGATACCAAAAACTTGGCTTCTGATCTTCCCTGCAATGTTCTTAATAGTATCCTTACAACACATGATAGTGCACAGATTGATATTATTGTTCCCAGATACCAGGCTTTACTTACAAATTTGAATTCAAGTTACATTTCTGTCTCATGGAACTTTGGGCAAATATTATATTGAACCTCTCTAAGCAAGCTTCCTCATCCTCAAATGGGGAATACTCTATTTACAGGGTGGCCATGAGAATTAAAAGAAGTCAATATAGAAAGAATAAAGTGTTACATATATTATTATTACTTTATCAAAGTTCTCCAGCTCAGTAATTATTCCCATTTCAAGAATGTAAGAATTAAATGCCACTTTAATGTACTTTTCCCCTATTCTTTAGAAAACCATACTTTAAAGATCTGATTTAATTATTTATTAAACAAATACAACCATGCTTATTTTAAGATGGAGGACGGTATGAATCTGTTACTGCTTTGTTCAGGATGATTGAAATTCAGTTTTCAGTTCAAGAACATCACACTGACATACAACCAAGAAGTATGTTTCTTTCGATGACACATGTACACAGATATACGTATATAGATGTGTGTATGCGCATGTGTGTACACAGATATATGTATATAGATGTGTGTATGCATATGTGTGTATAATATTGTAGGCTTAAAATAAATGTTTAAATAAGATAAATAAAATGAAATCATTTGAAACTTTTATTTCCAATGGAAATAAAACAACATTCCCAAGGACAGTAAGAATAGAAACATCAAATAAGAATAGAAACATCAAATAATTTGCCAAATAAGTATGTGGAAATAAAGCTAAAGCTAAGTTATGAGAGATTGGCCATTAGAAAATACTGAAATTGGCATGGAATAGAAAGTATTCTGGTATGATTTTTTAAAAAATTTTACGTTGAAAATATGAAAATAAAATAAAAGATGGTTGTGTGTTCATAAAATTTTTCATTAAATGTTAGAAAAGTTTTAGATGCACAGAAAAATTGCAAAGATACTAGAGAGGTTCTATATACTGCACACCCATTGTGACATTTGTTACACTAATGACCCAATATGGATGCATTAAGTCCGTGCTTTATTCAGATTTCCACAGCTTTTACTTAGTGTCTTTTTTCTGTTACAGGATTTCATTCAACATACACATAACATTTAGTCATCCTGTCATCTTAAGTTCCTCTTAGTTGCAAGTTTCTCAAACATTTTTTGGTTTTGATGACCTTGACAGTATTGAAGAGTACTGGTCTAGTATTTGGTAAATGTCCCTTGACTGGAATTTGTCTGATTGTTTTCCCTATGATTAGACAGGTGTTACCAGTTTTAGGAAGACCACAGAAGTAAAGTGCCATTTATATCACATCTTATCAGAGGTACATACCACCATTATGACTTATCACTGTTAATACTGACCTTGATCATGTGGTTGAGGTAGTGTTTATTAGGTTTCACCACTGCAAAGCAATACATTATTAAGAGATCATATTAGAGGTAAATGTACTGGACATTAATGCTAAGGTAAAAAAATTCTGAGCAGATTCCTCAGCGCTGCTATTAGGTTCCATTAAATGACTGCTAACAAATACCATGAAAATACAATAAACTGGAAAGTGCAATGGGAAAATAAAACTCCAAAACCGTTAGCTTGAATATTCACTTAATGGAGGTGAAAGTGAATTTTCTCCCTTGAATTACCTTTACTTTATCCACTGTATCGCTTGGATAGTAAATACTTCAGTTTGTCGTAAGAGGTAATTTTAATCAATAATCATTTGCTGAGTGCTTTTCCATATTGCCCTCAACAAAACAATGAACACTGATTATTGAAATAATGTGAAAGACTTGATTTTCCCCCTTTGCTTTAACCTATTTGTCATAAATACAGCTTCTTGTATATGATTTTAGGGTGTTTGCCAAATATAAAAAAAAAGTTTCAGTGTTTGGTTCTGTAAAATTTATACCGAATGTGTGCAATTTTTTGCTACCATGTTCATTGTACTTAATGATCTCTATTTTGTAGCCCACTAATAATAGTGGACCATAAAGGAGTTTTGAATGCATGAATGCAGCTTGAGACACATGTTTGGTTATTTTGCAATGTCAGAATAACTGTAGGTACTTATAAATTGAATAGATAATCTAGATGATTTTTCCTCCAATTTAAGTTGTTTTGGGTTTTTATTTCCCTGTCCTTGAATCTATTTTATCATTTTACCTATGTACAAATAATAGACTTCCTGAAAATGCTAGAATCTTCAATATGTAATAATAGAATTTGAGCATGACAATAATGTAAGGAAATTCAGAAGTCTCAAACTATCTTTTTTTTTTGGTTTTCAAAGTAAATCAAACTACAGTTGTTTTCATTTAACTATATTGTGGAAACCTATGGATATTATTGTAAAATGCACATGCATTACACTTTTAAAAAATGTTTTGAATTAATAAAGAATTCACCAATGTATCCTTAGACAAGTTACTGTTTCCTCATTGGTGTAACACCATAGGAGTAAAACGTACACTTGTTTATATTACTTAAATTGCTTATGCATTTTAGGGAATATAATTTCTGGCTGGATTCTTCATAGCATTCCATAAAGTTATTGCTTCTCACATTTTTTTCACCTTTTATAAATAATTAACTATATTCTTGAGTTGACTTGAGAATTCAGCTGAGAGATGGATCATACTGAATTTACGTGACTTCCCCCCATTTCTATGGTTAAGAAAAAATTCAGAGTTAAGACTTGGCAAACAGCTGATTCTAATAAAGATAAAAACGACTTATCGGTCCTGTTCTATACTCGGATCAAAATTAAAATGGTTTCAACCACTATCTTAAAGAAAAAACAATTTTATAAAGTAGTGTGGCTTGAATACACAAAGTGAAACGAATAGTTGAGGTGATCAGTTGGAGCTTTTTAAGTAGCAAAACCTATTTTTGCTCTGTATAATCTGGAGAGTCACCTCATTCCTCCACTTCACTTTTCGTTTGTAAGGAATGAATGGAGACAGTGCAAGCTCATCTTATAAGAATTTCATACCTAACCTCAGTTTGATTAGAGGACTCAAGGATGATTTAGCCTTGCCCGTAATTACCCCTTGATTTTTAAAATTCCAAGTTTTCAGCTCTCTCAACAGTGAAAACATTTAGTAGACCCTGCGCAAGCTAGTTAAGTAGTGGGAGTTCCCGGACTGAGTCAACCCTTGCCTCCCAAGGACTGTCTTGGTTATACTTACACCCTCATATCCATCCCTCTGGTGGGCTGCGAAAAGCTCTTTTGAAAATGCAAAGCATTATACCAATAAACTTCAATATCCCTGGCACCAATCCGCTATTTCAAGATTTTTGGAGGGAAATGGAGGTTGGGCTACCGAAGGCAGGACTCTGTGTAGGTTTTGCTGCGCTCTGGTTTATCGGAACTTGGAATCACTCGATCTGTTTTAAAAGTACTAACGATAACTCGCAGTGAGGGGGGACGGGCAGGAGACTCGGTGAGGAACGAAGTCGTTTGAAAGCAAGTAAATTTCGCAGCCCACAAAGGCTGGAAAGATTTGGGGAAATTACTCCTCTAGTTGCCTTCCTCATGAACACGAGTCTTACCGTCGAAAAGAGAAGGCAAAAAAGGCTGTCCTCAGCCCCACTAGCGGACTACACGGCCCTCCACCGCGGTCCTCGATATCCTCATTCAAGGCTTGGGACGTAAAATCTCGACGTCAGAAAACCGAGCGACAACCTTCAGCGTCCCCGCCCTCCCGTCCAACACACCGCCCCCCGCACGTTCAAAGAGGTGTTTCCGACCCAGCTTTTAAATGCGGGTCACTTCCCGCTCCGCCCCCTTCCGGCCTCCGCGAATAATACGGCGTTTAAATGCTTGCCGGAAGTTCCCACCGAGGCTTTCGGGAGGCCCTTTAAAACTGGCGCGTGCGCCGGGCTGGGACCGGTCAGTTCTCGCCGGTTTCGAAACTCCGCGCGGTGTCGCGAGATTCTCTGTACGAAACTTCCGGCTCTGGTTGACGGCGGTAGTTGCAGTTTAGCTATGCGGTCCCAGCTCCTGCGGGTTGCTTCTCGGTGTTTGTGGGCCCGCAAGATTGTCAGCCCTGCCCGCCGGCACCTCAGCTGCGGTAGCCTGCCGCTGGAGGAGCTGTTCGCCCGCGGCGGGCCCTTGCGGACCTTTCTGGAGCGCCAGGCAGGGTCTGAAGCCCAGTTGCAGGTCAGGGGGTCTGAGCTGCTGGCGACGGCCAAACTGCTGAGCGAGAAGGAGCGGGAGCTGCAGGAGACCGAGCACTTGCTACACGGTGAGGGTCGGGCCCGGGGGAACGGGATTCAGAGCAGATTCTTGACTCTTTATTTGCTTTTCCTACTGTGCCGCTGGTCAGGTGTTCACACCTCCCTTAGTTAGAAGTTGTTTACTCAGTTGCAACCCTGTTTGGTTTGGATCAGAGGTCAAGGTATTGTGTGCATTCTCATCCCAATCTTTCGTGTTTGAGCCCTTATGCTCCGTTGACACAATGCTTTGCCCCCTTTTACAGAATGTAAGTGTACTGATTGCCTGCTCTCTGGTGGATGATCTTCAGCTCACCAAGGACAAGCTGTTACGGGCTTGAGAGCAGTGTTTCTCCAAGAGTTCTCCAAGAGTAGAAACCACCTGCGACAGTGCCAAGAGAGGTGCATGCTGAAGCCAGACTTTGGACTCAGAATCTGAGACCTAGAAATTGGCGTTTTTAACAAGTTTCCTTAGTGATTTAGTGTGCATTTAAACATGGATGGGTCCTAAGTTTCTGCATTTCTATAAGCTCCCATGGACCGCACTTTGGCTAGCATGGCTCTAGAGAGGGTCACAGTGTATTCAGGGAGAGAAAATTAATACTACAGCTGAAAGTGAGAACAGTACCTGAACAGACACCTAGGGAAAGCAAGGAGAACTTGTTGGGAAGGCCTTGTGCAAAGATAAAGGTCCCTTCTTAGAGGATATTCAGAATAGTTTAACCTTTACTGATCTTTTACCGTACTCTAGGCTTTGCTTAAATATTTTTAAGTATTAACTCATCCAGTTGACATATCAAACTATGAAGTAGGTACTATTAGCCTCATGCATCAGAAGAGGAACATGAGGCATAAACCTAAAATAACTGCTCAGGCTAAACAGCTTCTAAGGAAAGGAGTTTGGATTGGACTCACTCCAAATCTTAGGCTTTTTATCACTGTACTCTTTGTTAAGCGGGGAAGGGGAGAGGTTATGGACAGTGGCATGGTGAGACATTTTATAAAGGTGGGAGTGTGAAATACTAATCTAAAAAGGCTGATTTTATCCTGTTGGCAGAAGGGAGCCAGCGGAAGCTTTTAGACTGCGGGAGTGAATGACAGAAATGGCTTTCTTGCTTGATTTGTGGTAGTTTCCATGTCAGCCTGAAACGAGATTGCAGATGCCATGGAAAACAAGATTAATGCAATAGCCTAGGTGAGAGTTAAGAAGCATCTAAATTAAGTGATTTAAGAGAAAAAGTAGATGCCCCGAATTGGGGGGGCGATTGATTAACCGTATTGGGAAAAAATACTTTTGGGGGAAAATTAAATTGGTTTCATAGGTTAAGCCTAGCTTAAAAATCAAATAGATCTAAGGTTTAAATATATTAAAAATCAAGCTGTAGAGAAGAGAATGTTAGAAAATTGTTACTGGCAAAACACAACTCACCTTTATATAACAATAGAAAATATCATTCAGCAACTCCTGAGTTTATGTCAGACACCACTAATTACCAAAAAAATACGGAACTACTTTTTAGCTTACAGCCTAGTGAAAGAGAGACATGTTTAAGAAGTAAAAATATAAGTGGGTTTTAATTTAATTTATAAATTGTTTTAATTTCTGCAATAAACAGCAATGTTATAAAAAGCAAAAGGTGGCATTTAAATAGATCTTGAAGAGAATACAGGAGGTTGCCAGACAGTGCAAGAGAAGGAGACTGAAGGCAGAGGTGACCTGCAAGAAGGTATCAAATTGGAAGATTAGGATATAGCAGGAGCACAGAGTAGGTATGGATGTCAACAGTGTAATAGAGACTTGAAACCAGAAAGACAGATAATAACCCTTCCTGACAAAGAACATGGATTTGTTCTTACAGACTGGGGGGGATTAGCATTATGTTTTTAAGCAGAGAAGTGACATCTTTTTAAAGATTCATGTTGGCCTCAGTGTTGAGAACGGATTGGGAATATTCTCCAGGGGCCCCGGTGGCTGACAGGCCAGTGAGGAGGCTGTTAAAACAGTCCGAGGAAGAGATGGTGGTAGTCAGGGACCTCAACAAGACAGATCTGGCAGCTTATGTCCTGAGAAGAGTGAAGAACAGCCAGAATTCTAAGAAAAATGTTAAGCTTCTGGGTTCAGAACATGAGTGGTACTATTAATTAAGATGAGAATATAAAAGTTGAATAAATTTTAGGAAAAAGATGTTTTGTGCTGAACGGGCAGCCATATTTAACTAGAAGGACCTGTAAGCACATTCAGATAAAGATCATAATCTAGGTGAAAAAAAAAACTGGCATACGAGAAAAACGGAATCTGAATATTCATGAAAACCTCTGCATACACTTGATAAAGTTCTGAAGCAGATGAGAGTACTCAGGAAGAATTTGTAGAGATAAAATTAAGATGCTAACAAATACAAAAATACATAGTATTTGAGGAGCAGGCAGAGGAGGAAGCTATAAAAGATCAAGAAAGAATAGGCAATTGGGTTATGGACATTGGGGAGGCTGTGTGCTATGGTGAGTGCTGTAAAGTGTGTAAACCTGGCAATTCACAGACCTGTACCCCTGGGGTTAATAATACATTATATGTTAATAAAAAATAAAAAATTTAAAGAGTAAAAAAAAAAAAAAAGAATAGGCAGAACTTTGGGACCTTGAATAAGATAAATGAAGCTAAAAAAAAAAAAAAACAATTAAAATTTCCAGTAAGGGATTGTTGATACCTGATTAAAAAGGGCTCAGCTTTTCAGCTCACACTGAAATAGGTCTTTAGATTTGGCAATTTTGTCATGGGTGATTTTAATAAAAATGGTGTTATTAATATGATTATGAAATCCAGTGTAAGAACTTGAGAAGTAAATGAGAATTAACAAGAGAAGTAATAAACATGGTATTTAATCTCCAGAAGTTTGGGTAGGAAAAGGGGGGGGGTGATAACAAGTGGGTACTTGAAAGGTTGAAGAGAAAAAGACCCTTAAACTTGTTGATTAATAATACTGAGAAAGAACTAGAATATTTCCATTGCCTAGGAATAACTATTCAGTTTAAACCCTCTAGAGCCAGTAGCCACATTTGGCTGGTGAGCACCTGTAATGTAGTCTGAATTGAGATGTACTATAAGGATAAAATAACAGATTTCAAAGACCTACAAAAAAAGAATTTGTAATATTTTTAAAGTACATGTTGAAATGATAATGTTTTGGGTATATGGGGTTAATAAAAAAAAAGTCATATTAAAATTACCTGTAGACTTTAATTCCAATCTCCTTAGCGTTACAGAAGAACTGCATTTCAGAACTGAAAGGGACCTTGGAGGTCAACCAGCCCAGCTCCTTCATTTTTTCTCAAGATAATGGAATATCAGAGAAATTGTACATGTTGGCCTAAGAGAACTTAGTGGTTGTACTAGGACTAGAATTCATTTTTCCTTTTTCTGCTTCAGCACATTTGCCATTTCACCAGATTTCTTCCATGCTAAATTCTTGCCAGAATTTCTTGCCTTCCCACCACTTCTCATCATTCCTTATTTCACTCTTTGTGTTGTTACCTTTCCTTGAGTTAATGCTTCTTTCCGCTTTCTGCCCATCCCCAAAATAAACACAGAAACAATCTTTTAGTGTGCTACCATTTTAATATTTAATCACCTAGTGTTTTAGGTTGTTACTCTTTGTGAGTTTTTCTCCCCTAAAAAATATAAAGAAACTAAAATTATCTAAAACCCTGCCTTGAGAGTACATATTACATATTATTATCTCTAATTCCCAGCATAGTTAGATCTTCATTAATGAACAGACATAGAAACCAATACCCTGGAACAGTCCGATCTTTCACCAAAGTGAGCTCAACAAAGACAGTTATGTGTAAGAGCTAAAAAAAAAAATTTCTCTTCTCTCCTTTCTGTAGGTTGCATGTTGTCCTAGGATAGAGGGATGAGAAGGTATATTTTGTAAGGTAAAATGAAAACTCAAAGATGAAGTAAGAGAGTAAAGCGAGTGGGGCAGGGAGTACTTCATGTAAATATTATGTGAACATGAGGCAGAATCTGAATGATTGGGTGGATATTTATTTTATATTAATGAAATATTTGTTAAAGGGACAATAAATAACTTTTTATTTTTTAATTCAGTTGTGGTTTAACTGATGGAACTTTCTGTTCCCCTTCTGTTAGTGTATAGTCTAAGTTGGAAAACTAAAAGCATATTTGTTAATAGGAATATTTCATAGAGGTAGAACTATCAACTAGTTTAATAGCTTCTTTCTTTTTTTGTAGATTTTTTTATTTTATTTCTGTCATCAGGAAAAATGTTTAAGTTACATACTAATAAAAATGAATGCATAAAATGCTACTTTTAATTAATGCAGTTGTTAAAAGGACAAGATGGACATTTATTTTTCCTTCAGCTATAATAATAATAAAATAATGACCTTGAATTCTGTTGGCAATTTGACATTAAGGAAAACTTAACCTACTGCTTTCTTTCTGCAGATGAAAATGAAGACTTAAGGAAACTCGCAGAGAATGAAATATCCTCCTGCCAAAAAGAAATAACGCAGCTGAAGCATAAGGTACGGGATCCTGCAAAGAATAAGCACGTGTGCTATTACTTCTAATGAACTTTATTAGAAGTTTATAAAAACAACTCAGGAACCGAGTAGCTTATTAGTATGTAGAATTATAAATTTTTTTAATACAGGAAAAAGCATATTCCGTGTGGTCCTATTTTTATTATACCAAAAGGATTGGAGAGATGGGGGGAAAAAGGTGACTGTTCATCGATAGGATTTTTCAGAAAAGCAATGAAGTAGGTATCAGTATTATATCCCCGCCCCCCACCTTTAGGTTTTTTAAGAGAGGGGAGAGTGGGGGTAGATGATGGCTAGAAGAGGTTATGAAGCAGTGGTATATGGCGAGCTCCTTGGAAGCAGGAGTATTTCTTTCCGTTTTGTCTCTGGCATTATTAGAGTGTCAGACCTAGAGTGGGCCCTTGGGCTTTTAGAACTACACTGTAGTGCTTCAGTCTTATATCCAGGAGAATCTATAGGCATTAGATGAAGAGTAATCATTATATTAAATTAGAACCACTTTTTGCTCATTCTGGAAACTAGAGCTTAAAGATTTTTTTTTTTTTTTTTAAAGATTTTATCTATTCATTCGACAGAGAGAGATCACAAGTAGGCAGAGAGGCAGACAGAGAGAGAGAGAGGAGGAAGCAGGCTCCCCACCAAGGAGAGAGCCCGATGCGGGGCTCGATCCCAGGACCCTGGGATCACGACCCAAGCCGAAGGCAGAGGCTTTAACCCTCTGAGCCACCCAGGCGCCCCTAGAGCTTAAAGATTTATAGTAGTGGGACACCTGGGTGGCTAAGTCAATTAAGCGCCTGCCTTCTGCTTGGGTCATGATCCCAGAGTCCTGGGATCAAGTTCCTCACTGGGCTCCCTGCTTAGTGGGAGGTTTGCTTCTCCCTCTCCCTCTGCTGCTCCCCCTGCTTGTGTTCGCTCTCTCTGACGAATAAAATCCTTTAAAAAAAAAAAAAAAAAAAAGATTTACAGTAGTTATCTCTGAGGACATAAGTAAAAGGACCTGGCAAGGTGAGGAAGGAGCCCAGAAAAGGGGGAGCTTAATTTAAAGATTCTGTCTTTTATCTAAACAAATATGGACTCATCAAAAGTTAATGTTTTTACCACCCATTCCAGAGACCACTTCTACTATGAAGTGTAAAGCCTCATGTAACTTGCCTTCTACCCATTTTCTAATTTTTTTGTGAAATAAAAGGACATATGTATTAAAGGTTTCTGTTCATTGACTAGTAATTAACAAACATAAATTCAATCATTTACTCAAGATTTGAATAATCATGTTGTATTGGCATAGGCTAGGGAGATGGAGAAGTAGTAACAACTATAAGTCCCAATCAGCATGAAGTGTGATATTTCAAAATTCAGGCAGATCTGGGCTCAAGTTCTAGTTCTTCCACTTCCTAGTTGTATGTTTTTGTTAAACTGTATTATTCAACTAAACTAAGCTTAAACTTAGTTTTCACATCTTAGGTAGATCTGTTAATGCTATCTTCCCAGGACTGATTTAAGAATTAAAGTATTTAAAGTGCTTAGCAGAGTATCTGTTCATATATTAGGGAACCAATAAAATGTTGGTAGCTTTTCTTATTCAATTCACCTAACCTAAGAAGCTTTTATTCTGTATTAGTACTTACTGAAGGCTGAAAGACATCCTAGCAGGAGGAGGAATGATCAAGGCAGGAGCATTTGAGTTCTCATGTCTGCTCTGCCAACACTTTTCCCTTTAGCAAGTCATTTAGTCTCTGTTAACCTCACTTTCCTTTACATTGAAAATAAGGGAAGTGGACCAGATTATACATCATTTCTTATGGCCTTTTCAGTCCCAGTATTACAAATTTCTCTTCCAAATTAAAGAAGCTTAAAAAGATACAATTTCAAGTTTTGTTTTTTTTTTCTTTTCTGCTGTACTAGGCTATAGATTTCAAAAAGATAGAGTCAGAATCTTCTTTTGCATTCTACACACAATGTAGTGCCCTACTCACAACAAACTCTTACTTATTAACTGAATAGAGGACTGACATAAATTATATATGCACACCAAAAAGAAAACAATGCAATGCTGCAAGTTTCAGCTGGATTTTACAGCATTTATAATATAGTTGTTACACTATTATTTTATAAAAGTTATACATTACTATATGGTTTTCATGGGCAAGATAGTTGAAAATCAATCAGCAGTACTGTTTGCTTAGAGAAACTTTAAGTAAATTGAATATTTAGCATCCTGCATCTAATGATTTAGTTTTATTTTTTAAGTTTTAAATAATTACTAATGATAGGAGGGGTGATATTTTTGTATTTACAGATTATTTTACTTTTGATTCCCTCAGAAGAAACAGATGAAAATGATTTGATCCTGGAGGTAACTGCAGGAGTTGGGGGTCAGGAGGCAATGTTGTTTACTTCAGAGATGTTTGATATGTATCAGCAATATGCTGCATTTAAAAGATGGCATTTTGAAACCCTGGAATATTTTCCAAGTGAAATAGGTCAGTAAACTGTTTAATTCATTTTGGGAATAGTACAGATTTAGTTTATCTACGTGTGTCCTAGGATAAGTGTTGGAAAGACCATGACTAAGCTTTAGAATTTTTTGATAAGGAAGCTTACCTGATTTTATGCACATCATTTACTTAATAATTTTGAATGCAAATATGCCAATTTTGAAGTGGCCTATAAAATGTTAATCATTCACTATTCACCATTGAATGATTAATGGTCTTTTAAAAGTGGTCTTTTAGGTGTGTCATTGAATCAGTTCATTAATACCATAAATGCTTTATGTTTAGTGGTTATTAGCAGTCAAGGTATTAAGTATTAAAACACTGAGTTTCATGGGCTTGCTAAAGTTTTTCAATATGCTTTACATTCTGTATGCTTATATGGTTTTATAGCTCTTTTAAATACATTTCAAGATGGTGGAAGTGATGGACAATTGCTTATAAATAGCAAGAATAATAATTCTGTTTTCCCAATATTTTCAAGGTGGCCTTAGACATGCATCTGCCAGCATTGGGGGTTTAGAAACCTATAAGCACATGAAATTTGAAGGAGGTGTGCACAGAGTACAAAGAGTGCCGAAGACAGAGAAGCAAGGCCGCATCCATACTAGCACCATGACTGTAGCAATCTTACCCCAACCGACCGAGGTAAGGCATCACAATCTCCCCTTGGAATCCTGGGCCCAGCACAGTGCTTTGCCCCCAGAGTTATAACTCACTTTCCTGAAGTGATATTCAGTACTAAATTCCTTTTCTTATCATTTGGCCTTCATCACGTATTTTTTTTGGGAAAATCTCTTCCCTCAATCCAAAAAGTATAATTTCACAATAGATGGTAACAACTAAAGATGTATAAAGGAAGGATGTAATCTTGTACTATTTATTAATTTTTCTCCACTACTAAACTTAAAGGAGTTATTCTGAGATCATCTTTATTTATTTATTTATTTTTAAGATTTTATTTATTCATTTGACAGAGATCACAAGTAGGCAGAGAGGCAGGAAGACGGAGACGAAGGGAAGCAGGCTCCCCGCTGAGCAGAGAGCCCGATGCGGGGCTCCATCCCAGGACCCTGGGATCATGACCTGAGCCGAAGGCAGGGGCTTTAACCCACTGAGCCACCCAGGCGCCCCCTGAGATCGTCTTTATAGGAGAAACATTATTAACCTACTTTAAATAGGGCTTAATACTGATCACTTTCATAACGATTTTTGCTTTATCTGATTTTTCCAGAGTAGCAAGAATCCTGTTTTAACAAGGGTAACTACTGAACAGAATTGCTGCTTCATAACCCAGTCACACTAAAATGTAAATCTCTTGTTACAGTGTTCATACAGGCTTTTGTCCTGTGCCAGTTTCCGTGTGCCTCTCCTCTGCCTCGAAATATGTTTAAGCCCTTCTTAAAATTAAACGAAGTAAGCTTTCTCATAGTTCTTAAGCTAGCATTTTTTATGTTGTTTTTTAAACTCAGAAAGAATCCAAAAACGCTCACATTATTAGTTCCTATACTCCCATTTCGAATATTAACATATTAACTAAGTTCTTCTGTTCATGTGGTAAGAAGAGGGTAATTTACAGAGAAGTCTAGTTTTTGAGGATTTGGAGGGTTTTTGTTTTGTATTATATTTTGATCCACCACTCTTAGGTGTTTTAAAAATGGTATCCTTCCAACTACTTTATATTCTTAAAATTAAACTTTCTTAACCTTACATCAATTCTGTATGTGACATATATTTATTTATAAATGGATAGTTCTTGCCTTTGAACAGTTCATATACATGTGATATTTTTAAATCCTAATATTTCCTCTTGTGTATAGATTAATCTGGTAATTAACCCGAAAGATTTGAGAATTGATACTAAGCGAGCCAGTGGAGCTGGAGGACAGCATGTAAATACCACAGACAGTGCTGTCCGGATAATTCATCTTCCAACAGGTACGCACTTATCCCTGCAACATAAAACTTGGAAGAAAGAAATCAGATTCTCTGTAATAGATCCTTAATTACCAGAATATGTACTACTAAGGATTATTATTAAATACTTTATTTAGAATCCTTAGATGCAACTCTGCAAAGCCAGGAAGATGGAAGGATCTAAGCCTATACTGGTGACCGTGAAGAAAAGGTGTGGATAGTCCTTCCAGGTAGCTTCTTGAAGCTTACACTTTGTAAATATCACTGTTAAAAGCAAATCCAGGGCACCTGGCTGGCTCAGTCAGGTAGAGCATGTGAGTTTTGATCCTAGGGTCATGAGTTCAATACTGGTGGAGTGGAGCCTACTTAAAATAATAAAAATAAATAAAAGGAAATTCTCAGAATGAAGTCATTGTCATGGGTAGATCTTTGTCAGAAAATGCTCTACATCACTAGTTCTTAGCCTTCTTTGAAAGGAGGGGGACATGGACTCCTTTGAGAAAATGAAAACTTAAACTCGCTACCCAGAAACATGCTCACCTGCAAATTACTACACTTAACTGCAGGCCTGCTTCTCCATGAAGTCCACTCACAAACTTCCAGCAGTTCTGACTGTAGATAGGCAATGGAGCTATATCTAAATGTTTGTGTTTTTTTTTTTTTTAAGATTTTATTTATCTGACAGACAGAGATCACAAGTAGGCAGAGAGGCAGGCAGAGAGAGAGGAGGAAGCAGGCTCCCTGCTGGGCAGAGAGCCCGATGCGGGGCTCGATCCCAGGACCCTGGGATCATGACCTGAGCCGAAGGCAGAGGCTTTAACCCACTGAGCCACCCAGGCGCGCCTATCTAAGTGTTTCTTAAGTCTTCAGTCTACTATCAGAAGAACCATATGTGCTTTACAGTCATTACTGCAGTGATTTACATGGATAAAGCACATGGATAGCAAACCTCAGTTACCTAGAAAGAATACAAGAATCTGTTGCAGTGACCAGTCTCAAATAAGCATAATTCTCATGGATCAGCAGTGGTTATAGGACTGGACTGATAGGTTTTTGATTTTTATGTTTATGGTTATGAGGAACTCCTAAAGTTATACTTTAAGATGATGTCTATGTAATACATAGTATGTAAACAGGCATAGGAAAAAAAGTGGATGAAAATCCTCATAAAAATATGAATAGTGACTATCTTCAGTAGGATTAACTTATTTTTGTTCTTATTACTTTAAAAAAATTATGGTGGCTAGCTAAGGATATGGGAAAATAATCCATATTAAATGATAAGTGCTTATTGTTCCGTATGTCTGCTTTCAATGAATATATTTTGCAGTGTAGCTTAAGCTTAAATTTTCAGTTTTCTGAGAACTCTATAAAAGTTATTTGTTAATAGTCTTCTTTTTTATTAGAGTTTTCTCTCCTCTCCATCTTTCTCTCCAAGGAAGAAGAAAAAGAGAGTATTCCTTGATAATAAATGAAGAAGATTTTCCTACTAAAACTCTTTAATAATTCTCATAACACTATTCAGGTGTTGTTTCTGAATGCCAACAAGAGAGATCTCAACTGAAAAACAGAGAGATGGCTATGAAAAAGCTACGTGCAAAACTGTACAGCATGTATCTAGAAGAAGAAACAAGGAAAAGATATAGTGCTAGAAAGATTCAGGTAAAACTGGATTTAAAAGATGCTCTGAAAGATAAAAATATTTTTAGAGAACCCAGTTTTTATGTATGTTAAAACTGTTTCAATGTATTTCTTAAAATAAGGAAATAATTCAAGTAGCTCAACCTAGGGGGTTTTGTTTTATAGTAATTTTAAATCTCTGCCCTGTTTTCTATATTCAGGGGCTTGTTTTTTCAGATTTTCAATCAAAGTTACTAAAAAAAGGTATGGAATCCCCATTTTTTAATACTTTGAAAATTATGGAAGAAAGTTGGAAAGCAAACTGAACTTTCTTCCTATTTGGTATTTAATTTTATAATTACAGAGCCCTTTATTAATTTCTTCCTAAGGGAATTTACTACTGTATCATCACTGAAAATGATCCGATTAATTCACAGAAGTTTCAAATATACATATATATATATATATATACACACACACACTACCATTTGAATACCATCTCTGCTCAGCTGAATGTATATATCATCATGGTGTAGTATTATTTGTTTGTATTTTATGGATAGGGAAGCTAAAGTTGAAAGTTGAAATAAATGTCTGAAGTCATAGAGCACTGAAATGGCAGAGAGAAGATGAAATGCTATAAATCTGTTGGCCTTTAAAGCCAGTATTTATTTTTCTATTATGTTCCTGTGTTATTTGAGGATTCAAAATGTTTAAAACTTGGTTCTTGTGTTTTAAATTATAAATCAAGAGCTTAATCTCCAGATAAGTTAAATTTATCGGTTTAGTTGCTTGAATCTAACTGTATCTCATATCTTTTTATATAGGTTGGAACTAAAGGAAGGTCAGAGAAAATAAGAACATATAATTTTCCACAGAACCGAGTCACAGATCACAGAATAAACAAGTCACTTCATGATCTTGAAACTTTTATGCAGGGGGGGCATCTACTGGATGAACTTGTACAGTCCTTGAAGGACTATGCTGATTATGAATCTCTAGTAGAAATTATTTCCAAAAAAGCCTGACTTATTATTAAAGACTTATAGCTTATGAAAATTCACAGCAAATTACATTGTGTGTTAAGTACTCACTAGTATTCTCTTAAAAAACACGAGTTAACTCAGATACACACACAGAAGTAATGTGTGTATTTTTAAGACAGATAATTTTATATAAATCTTCTCTTAGTGTATTAGTGAAAAATATACAATACAAACATGACTCTGGTTATATATTTTGGACTCTTCCTATGAGAAGTAAACACACAAAAACAGTACTTTATGTAAAATGTTTAATAAATGATCACAAATTTAACTAATGAAAAACTTCAAACATAAAATAATGATAATAAATACTGTATTAGTCAAAGTCCAATTAAGAGGCAGAAACCATACCATGAATTTGAACAGGGATAATTTTGATAACAAAGACTTTTTAACTCGTAATAGGATAAGCTGTTAGGAGATAAGACCAACTCATATACTAGGACTGAGAAAGAGAACCCAAGGGAAGAACACCTTTCGAAGGGGCTTCCCAAAGGTAGAGTCAGACCTACTCGAGAGACCATGGCTCTGGCCCACTTAACAGCAAAGTTCCCTGGGCCAGAGCTGGTCTGCAGGTGGTAATGGATCAGGCCTTGTAGACAGAACCTCAAACCCTCTGGAATGGTAAGCAAGCAGCCTCCCACCAGGGTGTCCGCAAAACTTGCTGGAGGGTTAAGCATCCATTTGTATCTGCATTAGTCAGTCAGGATCCTTCAGAGAAACCAAACCAATAGGATACGTGAGACTTATTAGGAGGAATTGGCAGATAGGACTTGTGAAGGCTGACAGGTTCAAAATCTGCAATGTGAGCAAGCAGGCTGGAGAGAGCCAGGGGAACTGATGCTGCAGTTCCAGTCCCAAAGCAGCCTGCTTGGAGAACTCTCTTTCACTCAGGGGAGGCCAGTCTTTTTTCAGGTCTTCAGCTGTTTGGATGAAGCCATCCACATTATGAAGGGCATTCTGCTTTACTCAGAGGTCATAGATTTAAATGTTAATTTCATCCAAAAACACCTTACAGAAACATCCAGAGTAATGCGGACTAAGTATCTTGGCACCCTGTTAACACATGGTCCTAGAGCACCCCGGGCAGCTGTGCCCCCACATCAGAAACAAGAGGAGAAACCCCTTCCTCCGCATGTCCTCCTACCACCCCTTACTGACAAAGGACACAGGTCCAGCTGCAGCATCACAGAGTAGGGCAATGATAGGTAATTTGTTGCCAAGGGGCAACAATTGGGTAACTGGCACAAACACCTGTATGTGTTACCTAATTTCAATAATGCTTCTGTACTTTCTTGGTGTTAGAAGTTACAAATATCATTAAAATATTTCCACTTGCATTGTTAAAAATAAGGATATTCTCCTTAACCATTTACTATCACACTAACAAAATTCAGTTATCCCATAATATCTTCAAGTACCCAACTGAAATGCCCTCAGTTCTCCCCAGATAGACCTTAACTGACTTCAGACCAGGATCCAACTAAGGATCACACATGAAATCTGGTGGTTACATTGCTTAAGTCTAGAACAGCCCTTCCAACTGCCACCCCTTTTTTTCATGACGTTGCACTGATGGTCATTTCAGATTAGGCTACTATTGTGTCATTTAACTTGGTCCTCAAGCACAGTATTACCTACAAACTGGAAGTTAGAGCTTAAGACTCCGCTAGTTTTGCACACTCCCTTTCCTCATTGAAATGTACACTAAAGTCAGCTTTGAAGGCACTGATGTGCTGAGACAAAAAAGATTCTCTAAAATACGTTGACAGAGGAGACAAATGACTTCGCCTTTGTGAAAGGAGAATTATTGTTTAAAGTGAGCTTAAAGCTGAATCGGCATGATCTTTATCAGCATTTTTTCTTTGGAAGATTTATAAGAAGTTTAGTGGCTCTTATTTGCCATGGGATTCCTGGTTATGATTAGCTCCTTTGTGACAAGTCAGACCCCAGAGAAGTAAGGCCTAAAGGGGAAGGAAGCCTGAGAATGTCTGATTGAGGCAGCACAGCTATAAAGGACCTCTTGGTATTGACAGAGTACTGAGTACTGTACTTGATATATCAACAGGAGACACCCCATTATTCTCCCAGGGTAAGAACTACTACAGACACAACAATTGGAGACACCCCATTGTTCTCCCAGGGTGAAAATTACTACTACAAGGAAGAGTAGTAAATTCAACTGGTTTACCTAGTGAAGAGAAGGGGATAGCAAAGGAAGAAAGAAAAGAACTGTAGGAAAAGTCTGTTATTCCATAAAGTGAGAGAAGTTGGAAATACTGACTCAAGTTTTTGAAAATGTGAGATACACAAAGGACTACAATTATAAGAAGAACTCTACCTGGTAGATAAGTGTTAAATTTATAGTAGTTACAACAAGTAGGATGCCCAGAGGGAAAAAAATGATTTAATTAGTAAGGCTATATGACTGAAGTGTTAAAGAATTACAAGAAATTCAGTTAACTTCACCAATTGCATGCTCTTCTCTATTTGTTGGAATCTACAGTAGAATGAATCTTTGTAAGCATATATATATACTACATAAATTTAAAACTGTTTTATTGTGGGCTAATGGGTTTCTTTTCATAAGTCAACCTGTATTAATTACCAAATTTCTTTTAGAGCCCTAACTGCTAACTTTCAGAGTAATTTTCTCTTGCTAGTTTATTCTTAGGATTTTAAAGCTGGCCAAAGATTATCAAATACATCAGAGAATTTTATTTTGAGAAAAATCCCTCTCCCTTGTAACACTCTGCTTATGAAAGGCACTCTATCTTCACCAGAACATTTGATGAAAATGGTTTTCGGTGACCTACAAAACTTAAAAATACAGCAAGTCCTGTTCATTAGACCATATTCTGTTCTGCAAAAGGCTCATGCAACCCTGTGTCTCCCAGTTTGTTAGTTTTGGTTTCCTTTTTAAATGAAAAGGACATATCTACATGTTACTAAATATTACAACATATTATTACCAAATTTCTCTTCATCTAATAGTTAATAATTAGAAAAGTTGGACTGAGATTATGAAGGGTCTCAAATGTTAGATTTCATTTGTAAATAAGCTATTAAAAGTTTAGTTATTTCCCCCCTTACCTGTCTCCACTCCCTCATTCCCAGCCCCATGGGAAGGTATGAGAGCTGAACTAATGAAGTCGGAAAAGACCTTTTCATCAATTTTTAAACTTCCCGTCCATTAGAACATTACAGCTGGTTAGAAATCATCACAGAACCTACATAATTCTAACAATGTAAGTTAAAGATACGTATCAGTAGGTATTTTATGAACACATGCAGAGTAATTGGCAGATTCTGGTCTGAACAGACATTGGCTTCCACTTCACTCACTAATCTAAATTAGTTATTCCTAGATTAACAAGCTTAATTTTTGGAACCTAGGGAAAGATAAAAGTAGAGCAACACAGTCTTGGCATGAAGCCTCCTGGAACACGAAGTCTAACGTTTTAAGGGCCTTGGAATTTGCAGCTGTCTGCACAAACAATACATCTATACGGTTATCTTCATTATAAGCCATGCCTTGTTGCTCCTATCTGCCTTTGCTTATGCTGCCCTCTCTGCCTAGAACAGACACTTGGCTTACCTCAGCAGACTTCAAGTTCCAACCTAAAGGGCACTTTAACCCCTGGGCAGAATTAACTGCCCTTCTTTGGTATTCCACAGTACTTTACCATACCAGATGACAACATTACAGCAAGGTAATAACCTCAGTGGTTTACCCCTGTCTCAGGACTGCGTCTAATAAGGAAATGGGAAAGAGTGGGTCAGGGAATAGAATAAGCATGTATTGCCAGACTTCTCACATTGTCTCATTAATGGACAAAAAGTCGTTTTCTTCATTCTTGTTTCCTCAGGACCCAACATTATGCTACAATAGGCACTAAATAGATGTCTAAAAGGCAATTATATCTAAAGTATTTGTCTACAAAGCTGATGTTCAGAAAAAACAGAACTTAATTTTCAAGTGGCCTACAATAGCAGTTAATCAAAACTCATTCAGTTGGAATAGCAATTCTGAAGAAGCATAAACAAAACAATCACTATACTTAAAATTTAACTTGTCATGTTCCTCTAAAACCCATCTCTCACTGTGTAATCTTCGTTTCTTTAATGGCACTACCATTCTCCCTCTCAAATTTAAAATGTCCTCTTAAAAAAGTTCTCTTTTCCGCACATGCAGTTTATTGCTAAATCCTACTCTCTTAAACATTCTAATAATCCTCACTGATTCTATTATTACTACTCATCCAGAATTATTTCTCTCCTGGACTACTTTTATGGCCCCCTGACCTCTCCAGGCATCTTCTCTATCTGCTAATACAGGTTACACACATGTAACTGCCAGATTCATTTTCCTAAAGATTTTCTGTCAACCTTTCACTCGACAACTTAATAGGTTCCTACTATGTTCCAAATAAAACTCTCAACTTGTAAGTGTGCATACAAAACACATCTATATCCATATCCACCATCATTCTGTATCAGCCCATTTTACTCACTACCCCCCTTACATCACATCAAATTCATTTTTTCTGATAATTACACTTACCTTTAAACTTTCCCCTGTAAGTTCCTTACACCATGCTATCCTCCTCCCCAGTCCCTCAAAAGCCATCTTCAACAGCACGGATTTTCATCTATAGGTTTTCCCCTAGAGGCATCTGGCAAAGTTTAGGAGGGACATATCAATGTTTGGAGACAGTAGGAGTTGGAGGCCAACAATGCTGTTAAACTCCCTACAATGCACGGGACAGCCCCCGACAACAAAAAGTTATCTGACCCAAAATGTCAACAGTGCTGAAATTAAGAAACCCTGTCCAACAGATTACACCCTTATCCTGGCATATAAAGGTAACTCCTCTGTTCTCTAAAAATTCCCAATGTAACGCGATGTATTTGACTTTTCCAGTGTTATTGCTATACCCCTTAGCTTCTCCCTTCTATGCTCACGATGCTTTTATTCAAAAATTATTTATTGAGCATCTGCTATGTCTATTAGACAGCAGTCCCAG